TAGTTACTTTTTTAATGGAGTAACGCAATATTGTAATGCATTACTTTTAAAAGTAACTTTCCCCAACACCGTTTATAAGTGTGTGGGAATAATAATAATAATAATAACATTTTTAAAAATGTATACAATGGCATTATGACATCAAGTCAGTTGAATTTAGCCCGCCTACTTCATAATCTTTTACCGCGTCTAATTTATTAGCGACATTTCCTTTTCAAAGTAAAGTAAAATACAAAATAAATATGCTGATTAAAAGCAGCTATGTTTTGATGACGTAAATGTCAGGTGGTGAGGAAGCGTGTGGACCGACTGTAGCGAGGGAAGCGAGTGAAGGGAAGCGGGCCGGGGCAGGTAGGCTGGCTCTGGAGTCGGAGGCGGTTTGGCAACAGCTGATCTGTGACTGGAGAGTGCATGGTAGGAAGTGGCGTAGATTCCGGAAGTGATCCGGAAATGGAGGATGAAGTGTTTGACGCGGATGAAGGCGGGAATGGAAATAATGAATGGAGTATAGTAGAAAATCGAAAAAGAAAGAAAAGCTGGAGTAACGCATCTGCAACTGACAGTGAAAATGGAACACATCTGACAAGAAGAAGGAAGGAAGAGTATAAGGTAGTGATGAAACTTGAAACCGGATCTTTCAGTATCATTAATCCGCTGAAATTATCTAAAACAATTAAGGAAGTGATAGGACTGATTGAAAGTGTTAAGAAGTTGAGGGATGGTAGATTGATAATATATTGTAAGGATAGTAGGCAACAAAAGAAGGCTCTAGGAGTTAAATCGATCATGGGACAAAGTGTGATTTGTTCAGTACAAGAAGAAAAGAAATGGGTGAAAGGAGTAATAACAGGGATCCCCACAGATGTAACAGTTGAAAAGATTAAGAGAGGTCTTACGGGAGCCGCAGTGATTGAGGTGAAAAGACTAAAATGCAATAGGAATAATGAAAGGGGAGACAGTCTCTCTGTGATGATTCATTTTGATGAGGATAAGCTGCCTAGTAAAGTCTTTTTGGGATTTATGAGCTTCTCGGTCAGGCCCTATGTACCCCCTCCTCTAAGATGTTACAAATGTCAAAAGTTTGGGCATGTAGCGGCTGTATGCAGAGGCAAACAGAGGTGCGCAAGATGCGGCGGAGACCATGAGTATGGCAAATGTGGGCAAGGAGTTAATCCCAAATGTTGTAATTGTGGAGAGGATCACAGTGCGGGATATGGAGGATGCAAGGTGAGGAAACATGCGGCTCAAGTTCAGAATGTTAGAATACAGGAAGGATTGTCATACTCTGAGGCTCTAAAACAGGTAGGAAAGAATTTGGAATCAGGAGACAAAAGTAAAGAAATCCTTCAACAAAAGACTGATATGGCAAAGGAAAAAACTCAAGAGAAAGTTGGGATTAAGAACAATGTTGCATTTGTTACTTTTATGGCGGAAGTAGTGAACTGTTCAGCGCAAACTGAAAGCCGGACAGAAAGAATCAGAATTATAATCAAAGCAGCGGAAAAGTATCTAGAGATCGAGGGTATCTCGGTGGATATGATTAATGAGAACTTAAAGATGCAGACAACATACACCCAACCAGGATGTGGTGGTACATAATGGTGCTTTTAATATTTCAGTGGAATGCGAGAAGCTTAATAGCTAATGGGCAAGAATTTAAAAAATTCATTTCTGATTTGGAAAATAAACCTGATATAATATGTGTTCAAGAATCATGGCTCAAACCTCAGTTGAATTTTGTTTTACAAGGATATGTGGTTATTCGGAAAGACAGGAAACAAGGTAATGGAGGTGGGGTAGCTACATTTATAAAACAAGGTGTGGGATATAGGAATGTTGACGTGAGTGTGGACCAAGAGGTGGTTATGATGGAAGTCTGGGAAGGCAGTCATACTATTAAAGTGGTTAATTTTTACAATCCATGTGAAAAGTTAAGTAAGGAAGTATTGGAAAATATAAGAGGTAACACAAATCAGAAAGTAATATGGTGTGGTGATTTCAATGCCCATAATACACTATGGGGGAGTATTAAAACAGATTATAATGGGCTGATTGTGGAAGAAATGTTAGATTGGGGACGGTTAGTATGTATTAACAATGGATGTTGTACGAGAATAGATGTAACTCATGGGCGTAAATCAGCTTTAGATATCACTCTAGTGTCAGAAAATCTAGCTAGAAAATGTGAATGGAATGTAAGTAAACAAAGTACAATGGGAAGTGATCACTATCCAATATGGTGTAAAATTGGTGTGGACATCATACAAACCTTGGTGGAGAGAATTCCAAGATGGAAATTTAATGCAGCCAACTGGGAGCTTTTTAAAGAATTGTGTCATAACAAGATGTGTGAAATAGAAGATGGTATTGAAAGTATCGAAGAGTTAAGTAAGAAAATAAGTGAAGTGTTAAGAAATACGGCAGAAGAAGTAATTGGCAAAAAGAAAACTAAATAGTAAAAAAGCAGTCCCGTGGTGGAATAACGAGTGTAGTAAGGCAATTAGGGAAAAAAAATAAAGCGATGAAGAAAGCCAGAAAATCTGTATTGTTTAGTGAGTACATTAACTTTAAGAGAGCACA